AATTTGCATATTATGACGTCATCATATTTTTGGAAAATTGATTGTATCTCTGTAAATATTGATCAATTTTCATTCAAATTTTTATATGTTCTAGCTGAAACAATTCTCTACAGATGCAGTGAACACAAATTTTCATTTTGACGAAAGCATCATGGCGTATTTTTGCGATTAAAGGAGGCATGTCAATTTTTCACATTTTGCGTGTATTCTCTACGGGACATGACTTTTTCTCAAAACTGGATTCTACATTCTCGTCTTTCGCGAGCAATATCTCCGTCGTTTTATCTTTGTTTACGCTGAGCTTTGAGTATGTTGTAGCTGAGACAATAAGCTATCACAAGTGTGCCCTTTATTTTTCGATCAGATGCCGGGATCATGCTCATATTTCACTTACAAAGTGGGATTTGAGAATTCCATTTTCCGTTTACGTGTAATCTCTATGGGAAATGTTTTGGTATATCGGTAACGCACTTGACTTCCGACCTCGAGGTCCCTGGTTCGAGTCCGGGCGTCTCCAACAATTTTTTTCTTCACTTTTTTTTCTTTTTGACCTTTCACTCTACCATCTCCTTTGAATATTAAAACACGTACAATCGCAAATAATGTAATAAACAACCATATTTACTTTATTATTACCCTATTATCACTAGATCCATTACTTTTTGCGTGTAATCCTTATGGGAGCTGACTTTTTCTCAAATCTGGAATCTACATTCTTGTCTTTTGCGAGCAATATCTTCGTTAATTCGGCTTGGTTTTGTTGATTTTTGAGTATGTTGTAGCTGAGACTATATACTATCTAAATGTTCTCTCATTTTTTTCAGTCTGGTGTCATCGTGGTCTGTTGATGATAATCATCAACATCATCATGATCATCATCATCATCATCGTCATCACCATTACTATCAAGATCATCATCATGATCATCATGATGATCATCATTGTTTACATGTCTATATAACTTCTCCCTTTCTCAATATAGTAAATATTATAATCTATCATAAGACGTGAAGACAGACCACCTAATTCGTCCCCATGACGAATTAAATTTCTAGTTTATTTTTATTTATTTTCACACTTTTTTGTTAACAGGATAACTCAAGATCAGTTTAGTCAATTTCGTTCAATTTTGGCACAGTCATAGGTCATTGTCATGAGACGTTAGAGTAACATTTTCAAGGTCATCAAGTTTTCATGACGTCATCCAGGCGCCATTTTGTGTTTTTTTGGTACTTTTTACTCATGATCATATCTTCATAACGGAAAGGCATTTCTCATTCATATTTATCACGATTAAGGTCAATATCCGTCCGGTCAATTTCAGGTCAGAAAACGCGCGCGCATGCGTACGTCCGCGCGTCACCGCGCGCGCAAAAAATAAAAATGCTCAAAATCGTCTCAAATTTTTTTTGCATACGTTTTAGGCCATTTTAAGCATTTTGCAAAAAACGCGCGCACGCACATGCGCGCGCGTTTTCGCGCGTAATTGCTTTTTCCTACATAGAATCGCCAATTTTTTTCTGTCATCATATTTGACGCATTTTTCCAAGCATTTTGATACCTTGTTCACCTTTTTCTGACCATTAATAACGGAATGAGCGTCCGTTTAAGATAATTTCCGTGCGTGCGAGCTCTTGTAATACATAGCATACATGGGCAAAAACATGCCTATACAAAATCCATTATAGCACTTTAGGATGCAAAGTGAACCCAATTTTTTTCTCCATATTTTGATAGAGTATGAATTGGAAATATGATTTAATGTCTCATTTGACCCTCAATTAACTCATGACGTCATCATAATGGCCTCCCAACTCAAAATTTCAATTTGCATATTATGACGTCAGTATTTTTCTGGAAAATTGACTGTATCTCTGTAAATATTGATTGATTTTCTTCCAAATTTTGATATGATCTAGCTGAGACAATTTTCTACAAATGCAGTTGCCACAATATTTCATTTTGACAAAGGTATCATGGCGTATTTTTGCGATTAAAGGTGGCATGTCAATTTTTCACATTTTGCGTGTATTCTCTATGGGACATGACTTTTTCTCAAAACTGGATTCTACATCCTGTCTTTTGCGAGCAATATCTCCATTTTTTTAGCTTTATTTTCTCTGAGCTTTGAGTATGTTGTAGCTGAGACAATAAGCTATCATAAGTGTGCCCTTTATTTTTTGGTCAGATGCCGGGATCATGCTCATATTTCACTTACAAAGTGGGATTTGTAAATTCTATTTTCCGTTTACGTGTAATCTCTATGGGAAATGTTTTGGTATATCAGTAAGGCACTTGACTTCCGACCTCGAGGTCCCTGGTTCGAGTCCGGGCGTCTCCAACAATTTTTTTTTCTTCACTTTTTTTTCTTTTTGACCTTTCACTCTACCATCTCCTTTGAATATTAAAACACGTACAATCGCAAATAATGTAATAAACAACCATATTTACTTTATTATTACCCTGTTATCACTTGATCCATTACTTTTTGCGTGTAATCCTTATGGGAGATGACTTTTTCTCAAATCTGGATTCTACATTCTTATCTTTTGCGAGCAATATCGCCGTTATTTCGGCTTGGTTTTTGTTGATTTTTGTGTATGTTGTAGCTGAGCCTATATATGCTATCTAAATGTCCCCTCATTTTTTCAATCAGATGTCAGGATCACGCTCATGATCATCATCATGGTTATCATTATCATCATCATGAAAATCATGATCATGATCAAGTAGTTTATTTTTGTTCTTTATTTTTATTTATTTGCACACTTTTTTGTTAACAGGATAACTCAAGATCAGTTTTTTTTCCATATTTTGATAGAGTATGAATCGGAGATATGATTTCATGTCTTATTTGACTCTCAATTAACTCATGACGTCATCCGAACTCAAAATTTCAATTTGCATATTATGACGTCAGCATATTTTTGAAAATCGATTGTATCTCTGTAAAACTTAATTGATTTTCTTCCTAATTTTAATATGTTCTAGCTGAGATAATTCTCTACAAATGCAGTCCACACGATATTTCATTTTGACAAAGGAATCATGGCGTATTTTTGCGATTAAAGGAGGCCTGTCAATTTTTCACATTTTTATATGACTTTTTTTTTCAAAACTGGATTCAATATTCCCCTCTTTCGCGAGCAATATCTTCATCGTTTTTTGGTCTATTTCCCCCACAATTTAAGCATGTTATAGCTGATAATATGAGCTATCTTAACTGTGCCTTCCGTTTTTTGATCTGATGTTGAAATCATGTTGAAATTTTCAATTGAAAGTTGAAATAGCGACTATGCCAAGGCCGTTTGTCAGCTTTACATGTATTGTCTAAGGGACATATTTTGGTATATTGGTTAAAGCACTCGACTTCCATATCCGGTGTAATTTTTTTAAAAATTTGCTTTCGTTTCTTATCAGTGATTTTATCATCTTTTTCGACTACTATATCTCGATCTATCTCTACGCTTTCACCCTCTCCCTCTCTTGCTCTGCCTCCCTCTTGATCTGCTCTAGCTGATGTCTCCCTCGATCTGTCTCTACTCTTTCACCGGCCAGCTCTCCTTTTCCCGCCTTTGGCTCCCGTTCTCCCTCTTATGTCGTATAGGATGTTCCTTAATTTCCTTTACCTCTTTCCTTTGCCCTTTGTATTCTTTTTTTCACCCCTTCCAAGTAGCCTATGCATTCTGATTTCTCTTTCATCCCTCGGTCCATCTCATGTATTTTTACATGACTATACCCAGTCTCCTTCCGTCTCCTTATATCTCACCATGTTTCACTTTGATGACGTCATCACAGTGACAATTTTGATTGAATGCGACATGTCAGAATTTTCTTAGTTTGCGTGTCATGCCTATTGGAGGTGACTTTTTCTGAAATCTGCATTAGGACATTCTAGTCTTGTTTGAGCAATATCTCGATTATTTTTTCTCGATTTTCTGCAAGCTTCGAATATGTTGTAGCTGAGAAAATTCTCTACACTTAAGGTCACATTTTTTTTCTATAAATCAGATGTTGGGATCATGGCGATATTCCAACGACAAGATGTGAATTGAAAATCCTATTTTTCGTTTACGTGTAATGTCTATGTGGAGTAAGTTGGAATTCTAGACAACACCGACGCAAAGCCCCTGGACACCAGGTCGAGTTGTCCAGGGTGGGGTGCTTCGGGGGACAGCTCGATCAACTTTTTTTTCTCCTCATGATTTCATGATCTAAAATCCCTCATCTTAGATAAATTTGTCATTTTATGTATTAAATATGCTTTTATAAACACCCACCCCTAACCTAACCATAACTCTAACCCGGCGATTGTACGACTTCGGCTCGTCAAAAATATATTCTCGTTGCAAAAAATATCAGCTTTATTCTTTAGAACAGCTCTCAAAATACTCACAATTTCCATGTTCCCTGTCATGACTGCGTTAATTATAAAAGCATTAATACATAAAATGACAATTTTATCTACGATGAGTTATTGCCAGTTATTCACCCATGTATACGCAATGTTTACGTCTCTAGCTCCCACGGACAAAGAATTGTTTACATGTCAATACATTTCTCTTTCTATATATCTATCTACTCACATCTCGCTTAATTCTTTCTCCTCTCTACTGCTTTGTTTCCCTTCCCTTCTCTTGCTCTATTTCTGTATCTCTCTTTCTACTCTTTCACCCTCTCCCTCTCTTGCTCTGCCTCCCTCTTTTTCTCTTGCTCTGTCTCTCGATCCTTTTCTCTACTCTTTCACCCTCCCCATTTTCAGCCTCTGGCTCTCGTTCTCCCTCTTTTATGTCTTTGGATGTTCCTTAATTTTTGTCAATAAAATCTATTCTTCCTATTTAAAGTCATCATCTTATTGAAAGTCATCATGACAACTTTTACCATAAACAAAAATATTCTTTTCAAAAATAATTCCTAGGTACTGAGCTTCCTTCTCACATTCCTAGATAAATACTTATAAAACAGTACGACATACACAAATCACTCAATTACTACATATCTCATGAAAATGTTTGGAACAAACTGTTTCAATTTTTACTGCACATAAATTATCATTTAAGCTTTATCAAGGTAAACCTTTAAAGTCAAACATAACATTCTTCATCTTATCAACCATTACATGATATCAGAAGATCATGACACAACATAGCTCATATCACTAAATACCAATCCTAGTCAATATACATATAGTTGTATATCCAGAAATCTCAGTTCTCAACCTATGGTTTAATCAACCAAGTTTTATAATGTACAATAAATAATATGACATTCTTACTTTTATCAAGTCATGAGACTTAGATACATTACATTTCTCTTGTATTTGAGTTGAAATCTGCACATGCAATTCTAAACGCAATTCTAAATGCAATTACTAAAACGTGTTTCCAATAATCTGATTTTTTGTTTTAAATGATATTATATAGCACCCGTACTTCAGAACGTTAATATCATGAAAAAGGTTGAGCATGGTTATAAGTCTACAAACACCTTTGAATAAAACCTTTGCTAAAAACAATGCCAACATAGCACAACAATATCATGCTGTGGGATAATTAGCATAAAAACAATCCATGTATAAATATGTATGACATATTCTGCACAAAGTTGAAAACCTATAACATGGCTATACGTCAATGTCCATAGAGTTTGTATATAACCTGTTAATACAAAGTAGAGATTATCAAATGTTCACATCATCACCTGAAGACAATGTCTTTGACTCAAAATTAAACAATTATCCAGCATTAAAGAGCACAACCCATTGTGTTCAGCATCATTAAGCCCTCTCTGATATATTTAGATACATAAGGTGGCTGTCTAATTATCATCTCTTTCTGTTTTTTCTGTTCAAAATGTAGTGAGTAATATTCCTGCACTTGCATAAACTACAATGCGTATATATTGCTGTAATATTTTCTTCTTCATATCAAACTTGTGTAGTGGATTTCATGAATTTCTACAAAACATATGCTCAGGATAATAATTTTGTATGTGCTATCATAGAAAGTTTGATGGGTATACATTTGTGGCTGGGAAGATCAATATAAAATAAATCTCAACATTACATAATCCTGGTAAATGCAATATGTATTCAACAAATGACATTAACAAAATATGTTATTAAACCGTGATACACATCCAATAATTTACAATGGTAGACAGACAAAAGAAATCCATGAGTATAGTGCATTTTACATTCTGCTCATATAATCTGCTGTAACATTATACTGAACCTTCACCGATACAAGCCGAAACCTGTAATCTTGGAGCATCATGCTCCATCTCATGATTCTCTTATTGTCAAACCTCTTCGCTTGAATATAGAAGAATGGTTTGTGGTCTGTGTGTACTTCAATTCAATACAAATAATATTTTAACTTTTTGATTGCTCGTACTATTGCTAAGCACTTTTTTTCTTTTTTGTGTAATTTTCTACCCGTGGTAATGACTTGTTACTCGCATAAGCAATCAGGAATTCTTCTCCTGAATGTTACTGCATAAGCCCAGCACCCACATTTACCTTCAATATAAACTGATCCTCGGCATCTTCTGCAGAATCTTGACACACCTTCCTACTCTCTATACACAAATCAAAGCAGCCAGCCACTGACAAGTTAACCTTCTGCCTGAGAAATTATTTGTTGAGAAGATTAATGTGATATTTCTTAAGAACACCACTGACAATGTAGTCATAGTCATACTTTACGCCAGCACAGGGAATGGGCCCTTCCATTTCAGCAACAACTTGTTCTGATCAGTGGGAAGCAAGATAAACCCTGATCTCCGTTATTAAATTTCCTGTTTCTAGCATTCATATCCTAATACTTCTTGTATTTTCCTGCAGCATGCACCTTTTAAGGCTTCCTGGGCTAACCCCCATGACTTCACCAACTTCTCACGGAGCACTATGTCATATTCATACTCATCTTTCAACTCCGGTATTACACCATCATTTGTCCTCAATTCCCTTAACATATCAAAGACACTCGCCAAGACCCAGTCTTCACTAAACCAAGTTTTCTGAAATGGTAGAAATTTTGAAGATATTCAATACCTACACATGGTGATAAAAAAATGTAATATAAATGAAACATTTCCATTGTCACTGCTAATATTAAATATAATCAGTGTCTCCGTTACCTTTACTACTGCTATCACCTTCACCAGTATTGTTAGTAGGTGAAAAGCATTACCCTTATTCATCTTTCAGATAGATGTTATTACTGATCACTGGTTTTATGCTAATGTTATCGTATTCATTTAATCAACGTCTGAGGAAATTAATTTTTCAAAATATTTTTTGTACAAAGCAAATGAGATATGAGCTCGCATGTGATGTCACACAGTTTGCAATTTGTGCTTCACTGATTACAACTCCAACAATTTATAACTTTCTCATTTGTTTTTGATTTTCCTCAAAATTTCATTGATTTGTTTCTCTCATTTATCTGCTTTTATGAAGACCAACTTATTTTTGGGGTGGACTTCTCCTTTAACACTTTACATGTATGAAGATCAACTTATTTTCGGGTGAACTTGCCCTTTAACACTTTACATGTATATGTAAGCATCTTAAAAAATGCATATTTATAATTATATGGCTAACGTCATTTACTCCTTACTGTACTTGGGGGGGGGTGGCGTAAGAGCCCCCCCCCCCCCCCTCCCCCACCCCGCATTTTTGGAGATAGCGCCGCAACCGCTTGGAATTTTACATTGTTGTTCTTTGATTCTTTTCCTCAAGTCTTATGCACATTTTGATACCATTTTCATCGAATTTGGATACACCTGTCAGGTGTTACATAGCAATTAGTATGCGCATATCATCAAAAAGTGCTACAATTGCATATATACATGTACAAGCAGAAATGTGAATACAGGTAAATAGATGTATAAGTGGGAGATATGAATTGATATCAAATTGCTTTGATACGTTTCTCAAAGTAACTTGATGTATTCCAGAACAAAAGAATACATTAGAAATAAAATAATAGATCGAGGACTTAAAACCACAACTGTCTATGTCCAAATATGCCATTTGAGTAAAAATGCATTTAAAAGTTTGATTGCAAGCATAAAATCTGACAAAGTGTAGTAGTTATGTTTAATGCCATTAACTTATAAATAATACTTGGTCAAACATCATACATGGAAGCCATGACCTTTTGACCCTGTCAATGTCAGAAACTTAAAAAATGGGAGTGCCAAATACCATCCATGGAACTCTTCAGGAATGGCTAGGCTATTGCACAAGTTGATGAGATCCTTCTTCTTAAGGTTTAGGCTTTTTTAAATGCTTCTCTTGGTAGACAAGGTCCAGGTTAGGTGGAACTGATGATCTATCTTCTTGTAGTCATCCAAGTAGTTATAGATGGTAGCAGATGGTGCTTTGCTCTTCCTTCCTGTATTGGAAGCTCTTTACATGTAGCCAGTTGAAGACGTGTCTATCTTCGTCTAGGCGTTTGTTATTCATGATCTGCTGTGAGAGATTTTTCAGATCATAAAAGTCTCCATGGCACATGTTTATGACCTTGTATGGAAGCCGACGTCTTAATTTGTGGAAGATGTTTTACCCAGTCATGCATTGTGAAGACATTGATGTTCTTTTTTTCTGTTTCAATAGCAGAATGCATGCTATTGCATTCCACGTGGGAATGCCCACTCTCCAGAAAATTGTGTGCGATGACTTTGAGATGTGTGTTCTGGATGGCATAGAGTAATGTTGCAGCGACATTCACTTTGCAAATCAAAAGAAGCAGAGACAAAAGTCCTCTTTCCAGCAACTACCTTGGCCTGGCATAGCTGCCAACACTTTGGAATTTTCAATTAGTAACATTTAAGTAAAACTGAATATCATGTGCGCGTAGCGCACATCACGAGCTTTCTTTGGAAAATCAGAGTCAAATTCCCTCATGTAGCAGGGTGTTGTTTGGCGAGCCTTAGTAATAAGGACACTTTTTAGAGTTTCGTTGCTCATGGACCCTCTGAAGTCAGTTTTGTTCTTTCGCACCTGACTGAAGACCCTTTTACATTCAGCATTGGTATGGGGTATGGTTAGAATCCCTTTTGCAAGTCTGTCATAGCACAGTTCACCAGAAACATTCTTTTCTGTCATCATACTTGTCCACTGCTTGTCAGTAGATTCCTCATTTTGCACTAAGTCTGGAAGCTGAGCAATTTGATAGATAAGGAACTGGTTCTCCAGAGCATCTAGGGCACTGTGCTTGTCTTCTTCTTCTTCCTGAAGCAACATGCAGGGGAACTTGTTGATGAAGAACTTTAGAGAAGTGAATTTGGCATCCTTCTGATATGCAATGTCAGCCACTTGCACATGGATGAGAACATCAGACTTCAATAGAAACTTACTTACAATGTAGTCACATGCCTTGGTGTAATATGAATGCACTGCTGCATAGAACTTATGGCAATCAGACTCATCTAAAGTGTTCACAATTTCTCTTGTTGCGCTTTTTATGACCATTTCAGATTCTTCACAAAGATTCTCCTTGTTCTTGTAGTCCAGAAGGGTCAAGTCTGTGGCTGCAATGATTGCTTGTGGAGCTACAAATTGGCTGTACAAGTCACGCAGTAGACTTTCTAGTTATTTATTTATTTTATTTCTAACCACTTTTTTGTTAACAAGATAACTTGAAAATGGCTAAATCAAATAACTTGAAATTTGGCACACATATGTATAGGCATATGGACAAAACACGGTAAGGTTTTCAACCTTGACCTTGACTGATGACGTCATCTAGGCGCCATTTTGTGAAATTTTCTGAAAATCATCTCATGATCATATCTTCATAACCAAAAATTATTTCTCATTCATATTTATCATGATCAAGGTCAATATCAGTCCGGTCAATTTCAGGTCAAAAAACGCGCGCATGCGCGTACGTCCGCGCGTCAATGCGCGCGCAAAATTTCAAAATGCTCAAAATCGTCTCAAATTTATTTTGCATACGTTTCAGGTCATTTTAAGCATTTTATAAAAAATCGCGCGTACGAGCATGCGCGCGCGTTTTCGCGCGTAACACCATTAAAAAACATAGAATCGCCATTTTTTTTTCTTTCATGATATTTTTCATATTTTTTCAAGGAATTTGATACCATGTTTATCTCTTTATGACCATTATTAACAAGATGAGCGTAAATTCAAGATAAATGTCAGTGCGCGCGAGCTCTTTTAATACATAGCATATATGGGCAAAAACATGCCTATACAAAATCCGTTATAGCTCTTTGGAATGCACCGGAATCCTCAATTTTTTTTCATATTTAGATAGAGTATGAGTCGGAAATATGATTCCATGTCTCATTTGGCCATTAAGTGTATCGTGACATCATCACAATGGCCTTGGAACTCAAAATACGAATTTGCATATTATGACGTCAGCATATTTATGTAAGATTGATTGTATCTCTGTAAATATTGATCAATTTTCTTCAAAATTTCGACATGTTGTAGCTAAGACAATTTTCTACAAGCGCAGTGTTAACCATTTTTCATTTTGATGACGTCATCATAGTGAAAATTTTGATTAAAGGCCTCATGTCAAAAACTTCATAATTTGCGTGTTATGCCTATAGAAGGTGAATTTAGTTCACGTTATGAATCTACATGATATTGTCTTTTAAGAATTTGTAAGCAGTATGTCGCTTATTTTTGCTCTATTTTGTCTCAAATGTTAGTTGACCAGCCCACCTATACTTGTTCCAAACAAGTATTATATGTCTAGTTATTAGGTGGTCTGTCAACGACAGATCACCTATTGTTTTCGTCAGAATTTTCTTTCTTTATTATTATTATTATTAGGTGGTCTGTCAACGACAGATCACCTATTGTTTTCGTCAGAATTTTCTTTCTTTATTATTATTATTATTATTATTATTATTATTTATTTTTATTTATTTTCACACTTTTTTGTTAACAGGATAACTTAAGATCAGTTTAGTCAATTTCGTTCAATTTTGGCACAGTCATAGGTCATTGTCATGAGACGTTAGAGTAACATTTTCAAGGTCATCAAGTTTTCATGACGTCATCCAGGCGCCATTTTGTGTTTTTTGGGGTACTTTTTACTCATGATCATAACTTCATAACGGAAAGGCATTTCTCATTCATATTTATCACGATTAAGGTCAATATCCGTCCGGTCAATTTCAGGTCAGAAAACGCGCGCGCATGCGTACGTCCGCGCGTCACCGCGCGCGCAAAAAATAAAAATGCTCCAAATCGTTTCAAATTAATTTTGCATACGTTTCAGGCCATTTCAAGCATTTTGCAAAAAAACGCGCACACGCGGATGGGCGCGCGTTTTCGCGTTTTCTGATATTTTGCAACATAGAATCGCTGACTTTTTTCTGTCATCATGTTTGACACATTTTTCCAAGCATTTTGATACCTTGTTCACCTTTTTCTGACCAGTAATAACGGAATGAGCGTCCGTTTAAGATAATGTCCGTGCGTGCGAGCTCTCGTAATACATAGCATACATGGGCAAAAACATGCCTATACAAAATCCATTGTAGCGCTTTAGGATGGAAGTTGAACCCAATTTTTTTTCCATATTTTGATATAGTATGAATTGGAAATATGATTTCATGTCTCATTTGACCCTCAATTAACTCATGACGTCATAATGGCCTCCCAACTCAAAATTTCAATTTGCATATTATGACGTCAGCAGATTTCTGGTAAATAGACTGTATCTCTGTAAATATTGATCAATTTTCTTTCAAATTTTGATATGATCTAGCTGAGACAATTTTCTACAAATGCAGTCACCACGATATTTCATTTTGACAAAGGCATCATGGCGTATTTTTGCGATTAAAGGAGGCATGTCAATTTTTCACATTTTGCGTGTATTCTCTATGGGACATGACTTTTTCTCAAAACTGGATTTTACATCCTGTCTTTTGCGAGCAATATCTCCGTCGTTTTAGCTTTGTTTACGCTGAACTTTGAGTATGTTGTAGCTGAGACAATAAGCTATCACAAGTGTGTCCTTTATTTTTCGATCAGATGCCGGGATCATGCTCATATTTCAATTACAAAGTGGGATTTGTGCATTCCATTTTCCGTTTACGTGTAATCTCTATGGGAAATGTTTTGGTATATCGGTAACGCACTT